AAATCGATCAATTTTACAAAGATACAACCAATTTTCCAAAAATATGCTGACGTCATAATATGCAAATTGAAATTTTGAGTTCGGAGGCCATTATGATGACGTCATGAGTTAATTGAGGGTCAAATGAGACATGCAATCATATCTCCGATTCATACTCAATCAAAATATGAAAAAAATTGGGGTCACCTTGCATCCTAAAGAGCTACAATGGATTTTGCATAGGCATGTTTTTGCCCATATATGCTTTGTATTACAAGAGCTCGCGCGCACAGAAATTTATGTTTAACGGTCGATCATTCCGTCATTAATAGTCATAAAGAGATAAACATGCTATCAATTTGTTTGTAAAAATATGTGGAATATTATGAAAGAAAAAATGGCAATTCTATGTTGTGCAATAGTTTTACGCACGAAAACGCGCACGCATGTGCGTGTGCGCGATTTTTTTATAAAATGCTTAGAATGGCCTAAAACGTATGCAAAATGATTTTGAAACGATTTTGAGCATTTCAAAATTTAACGCGCGCATTGACGCGCAGACGTACGCGCATGCGCGCGTTATTTGACCTGCCATTGACCGGACGGATATTGACCTTGATCATGTAAAATATGAATGAGAAATACCTTTTGGTTATGAAGATATGATCATGAGTATATTTTCGTAAAATTTTACAAAATGGCGCCTAGATGACGTCATCAGTCAAGGTCAAAGTTGAAAAAAATTCTGTGCTTTGTACATATGCCTATACATATGTGTGCTAAATTTCAAGGCATTTGATCCAGCCATTTTCAAGTTATCTTGTCCACAAAAAAGTGGTTAGAAATAAGAAAAATAAAGAATAAATAAATAAATAAAGGCAATTCTAACGAAATTATAAGGTGGTCTGTACGTTATACAGCCAACCTGATAAAGGCAATTCTAACGAAATTATAAGGTGGTCTGTACGTTATACAGCCCACCTGATAATAATAGTAATGAAAATAACCAAACTAATAATTATAATAATACTAACAAAAATAGAAATGATAAAGACTGATAAGTTGGAAGCACATACAAAAAATAACGACATGTCTTTTATTTACGAAAAAGGAATTCACACTTTGTGTATTTTAGATTATATTACAGCCAAACAGATGGAGATGCCTTATGAACACTTTCGTTTGTCATCCTAAACAGAATATTTGGACCTTCTTACTGACCTATTCCTGAGTCTGGTAAGACTGATCAACAGCAAATATCGAAACTGAATGCAGACCCGTTGTTAAAATATGTCATGTTGAGTCTCGAAAAAGGCTTATATCAAGACTTTCACATAAAACGTAATTACAACTAGAGCCTATATCATTTAATACAGTCGTTCCATAAGTGAATGGTGTTTATATAATTTTCATGAACATTTATCGAGCATTTGTCTCGATGGGTATTCATAGTTTTGTATAAATGAACTTTATCTGCCCATGCACAAATAGCGTCTTCGAACTGGCTCATAGTACATTGGATGGATCTTTTACAATTATCCCCATTCAACATGAACTCCCCGATACGCACAGTAGGAACATAAATACTGAAACATGTTATGTGTAAGGTATTCATGGAATTATTAAAGAGCTATGTGATGTCACATTTACATGTATTCAGTAAAGCAAATTATCACTTGTATTTTTTCGTTGGGTCTAGGAAACATCTCCATGTTTAAACTGCCTGTAAATCTGTTCAACTAATTTAATTAACAAAGGTTGATGCTTCCTGTCCTACTCTAGTATAAAAGAACTCCAATTTGCATATTGTATTATTTGCGAAAACCAAAACTTTCACTACACCAAATTTGACACTCTCATATTCAGATTCAAAACGTGTGGTTTTGTTTTGTAAAGAGAGAGATAGGCTTTTAACAATAAACGATAAACATATATCCACTTACCTATCAAATTTTCTAAAGTTTTGATTCATAATTTCCAACGTACTGCCCAAAACAAAGAAATATAAGGAAGTTGAAATCCAGACTTGAGCATAACTTCAATGTGTAGGGTCCAATATTTTTACTCAACACTTTACTCAATGCCAGGATAAATGACTAGATACAAGTTGTGATTCCTCTGGATTCCCACAGCTTCTCATCAGAATGAGAAAAAGAGAAAGAGAGATTCTGGACGGAGTCTGTGAGATTCTTAAATTCATGTTCCTTTGACATTTCTGGATCCCCCAAAAAAGAAAAACATCAAATAAAAGATATAAAGAGAGAAGAGAGAAAGAAACTTAATCTTTCGTGTCCCACGTTATGCCCAAAGCTTTGACCAACACTATATTTTCATTAACATTATACTGATTGTATTCGACATTAAATACATCGTATCAATTTACTCAACTTGTAGTTACTTAAACCTCAAGAACTAAGTAACATGGGAATTATTCATTGGTTGTAGGCTCCAGAGGGTGCCACAATTTTGCAAATCTTGCAGAATTGTGGAAATGAACAAGGAACAAGGTACATAAGGGATAGTAGGCGATTGATCTTGGAAGAAAACAAACGACATCTTCTTTCTCAACGTTTAAAATATTGAGTACATATTTTGATCAATAATACGGGTCTTATATATGGCAACCATATGACGTTATGAGTGTTGCTTTTTATGGTTTATTTTTGAAAATGATTAAAGATTTAATGATTTAATTTGCATTCCTAGAGCCAGTTCAGGGGATGGGTGTCATTTATCAGTGCCACTGCGCATGAGTATAATGCAGTGTGTTTATGCATGAACCTAATACAAAGGTTCATGGTTTATGTAGGTATTGTGTGTGCATGGGTGGTTGTATGTGTACGGTGGTGCGTGGGTGTGTGTATCTGTGTTTGTGTTTTCTTGGTTATGCGCTGTTGCATGAACGGTGACGCTCCCCTCCTATTTGGGACGCGTATTTATTCTTTACAAGACAGCCTAATAAACGCGCTCGCAAAGAGTCTAGCTATTAACTAGTTTAGCTACTAAAGCTTGGAAAGAGGTCACAAACGATAAGACTTTGATTATTTATTGCTTTGCTTCACTATTCATAAATGCAAAAAATAGAACTGAATAAATACTGAGATTCGAACCCACAACTCAAACGTGGTATTACGCTGTCCTTACCGATTGAGCTAACAATGTGATGATAAAAGGTGGGTTTGCATGATTATTATAAACCTATTACTAACCCTAACGGTTACCATGCACATGTTTAGCTATACACTAGACTCTTCACGAGCGCGTTTATTGAAATTAAAGCCGTAAAAATCACTGGCTGTCGTGTAAAGAAAAAAAACGCGTTGGTGTAATGAGGGAGGGGGGGGGTTGTTCAAAAAGATTGCTTTACAAAAATGTATTTACTTGTAAAACTATCGTTGTTATTTTTGCTTCTTTCCTAAAGGTATTGTATATGTATCTGTGCAATATAACTGAATTCTTCGTGTATGAATGTTTTGTATTTTGTTTGGTATGTCGTGTTAACTTCAATTTTGTAACCTTGATTTTGTTTAATGTACTTTTGAATTGTATCAATTAAATGAAATTAAATGAAATGCATTTTTTCCCCAAAAAATAAAAGCACATAATAGCAAGATACATCAACTAAAGCACAGTAAGTATACCAGAAAAAATAAAAAGAAAACAATAAATTTCGCATTATGTACATGTATATGTTTCATTAATGTTCACAAGATAACATGATTTAACATAACATAACAAAAACCTGTCGAGGGTGCTGGGTAACTAAATGCATGTTAAATAATACCTGCTACTTCTGAAACACTTTATAGTGTGGTACGGTATGTCACTGAAACAGCTCCCGTAGGATTTTTGTGCCAAAGTTAATTTTTTTTGCATTTTTGGATTCATTGGGGTCCAAGCTATCAGAAATTGATGGGGTTCAAATTTTCCCGAAGACACCAAATTTCCCTATTGCGCGTTATATATATATATATAAAACCTAATCGTCCAAAAATAAGTAAATGCTGGTACATTTGGTTTCTATAAGTGTTTTAAAAGACGAAAAGTGATTTTGAATATTTTGTATCATTAGATATACATCTTAGATTACAAAAGAGCATTCCCACGTTCCTTATGTTTGAATTATGTAGTTTTTAATTTTATTATTGAATTTAATCTAATCTATTGAACGTTATGATGCGGTCTCTGGCAGCTTTCAGCTTTAGAGATTTAGTCATCAGTGAAAGTGATCATCAATATATGTTTCAACGGATAAATGTTGATTATCGATTTCCACTTAAACTGATGTAGCCATAGACTCACTAGTTTGTGTCAGAAAGAAATTTTCAAAATAATACTCTATTCAATTTGTTTGTTTTATTGTTCCACATTCCACGTTCCATGGCTGTCTCATTCATAGTATTTAAAAAGAGAATGCATAATCAAACAATGAAAAACATGCACAATTGAGAAACAACTAATGATCGTATTATAGGTTCCCCAATTTGATACAAAATATGGTAACTTGATTTCGACAGCAATAACGAAAGACGTTATAAAAGTGCGATTCGCTGACACATTTTTAGCATTATGAATAACGTGTAAACAAATAAGAAACTTGTTAAAGTTTGATAACCTTTATAATCGATGAGTACTTGTGAACTAACAAAGCCACCTTTTCTAAAAATAATACACATATTAAACATGGATTTTTGAATTGTATATTTCTTTGTATTACGAAAAAAATATATGGAACATGAAAATGTCAGTTGTGACTCTTTTCACCCCTTTCCCCTTTCATGTATGAGCTCGTTATAATTCTTATCATCTAGTAACCGCAACCTGAGATAATAATTTTCGTCAGCATCATCATCATCCTCATTACTATGTGCTCAGTTATACCTTGTGGATTAATGTCTTCATAAAATGCCGGACTTGGATTCTAACCCTCAACCCTTGCATTGATATTCAAGTGAATAAACCACTAAACCATGACAACTCCATGAACGGACTTTATTTATTAATTGTATAATAATACTTACTGCTTATAGCAGGATCCAACTGGAGAAGGAGGACCAGAAGTCCAAAGTAAAGGGCATTCCCTACAGATGAGCTTTCCATTGTCACTCCTCAAGTGAAGTTCTATACAGAAAACATTAGCATTATGACATCAATTGTCGCTTTTAGCTTCGTTCGATGTCTTCTTTTCATGAGTCGCTTTGAAACCTAAATTATATTGCATCGGTAAGAGTTAATACCTACATGCCTATAAACCTGTCAAAAGTTTGACAATCGAGTTTGATTTAAGATTATTTTTAGTTGTTGGATAATCGATCGTTTAAATAATATGAGACTTTTTGAATGTGCAGTTTAGTGATGAATATGGATCAAATATGGGTAAAATATTACAAAATGAATTTTTAATTTGAAATGGGCATCTTGCAATTATAGTTATTGATCTATTTAGTGGATGAATGTTTCTCAAGTTTTTATTGAGAATTCAACACGATTTTCCTCATTTCAGTCGGAGAACAACCGTATCGTGAGTGATTGGTTTAAAAGTAGAGGGCTTTTTCATTTCACGAATTTACTAACCTTTAAAAAAAATCTATACGAATGGTACAATGCATTACTTTCTTAGATACATTTCCGACAAGACATGCTGAAGCTTCAACATTCCATATCCAAGACTTTCTATCTGAATTATAATTTTCCATACTCATTAAATTGATAGTAGTAATGAAACTAAATTGATAACAAATAATAACACACTGACAATAGCAATATATTATTTCATAACGATAACATTACTACTTTCCTTTAGAAAACACGATTTCCCAAATGTTTTTACTTGTTTGTGATCTATACATAGATCGCAATTTTTATATTGTCAGAATATAATTCAATAATCAAAATTATTTTATAAAGGTCCTGACAGGTCATACATGATTATTTGGACGTGATGATAACAATAATGATACTGATAATAATAATAATAATAATAATAATAATAATAATAATAATGAGAATTGTAATAATAATAATAATAATAATGATAATGATAACAACAATGTCGCCGAGTTCTTGTATGACTGCAAGGCGCTCACGAAGAAAACTATAAGTACGTATGAAGCTACCGGGGGGGGGGATAAACAAGAAACATTATTATTATAATCATCACCATCATTAGTATTATCATTATTATGTATTCATTATAATCATTAGAAATATGGCATGAGGACAACTGATCATCATCATGTTGTTCCTTGTTTCCTGGTGTTTTTTTATATTTTTGTTTTACGCCCCCTTAGACAACAAATACAAACATATCATTCTAAACCTCAAATCACATCTACAGCTCATTTAACACACACCGTAATTGCTAACGTAAAATACCACCAAAGAGCATTTAGGTTTCAAAGTACATAAATTCACTATAGGTATAAATACATGAAAAGCATTCCTTTGCAGATATAAATTCGACGATAATTGTAATAAGATACTTTTCTAAGAAGTCAAAGGAAAACTTAAGGTCTAAATTTGCGGGACACACGCCTGTTAGTAAGTTGAAGGAGTAGTCATCTACTCAATATTGATTTTACACAACTTAAAAATAAATCGGCCCAAACAAAACCATGCGGCTCTTTTATTAAATACAGTATTATGTGTACTAATGCGGCATGGCTGATTTTAAAGACTATTTCGAAAATGTGAAGATTTGATATCTCTAATAGCATTAATGCCATAGGCAAAAAGAGAATGTAGCAAACAAAAGGAACTTGTCCACCTATAACCTGCAAATGGTCCGAACTTCGGAGGTCCTTGATCGGCTAAGATCCTTACACTACCGTTCTGACAATTCGAGTTAAATACAATCTATATATCATTTTTGAGGAGAATGCTTGTAAAACAGACAATAGATTTTTTTCCCTGTAGATATCTTCATACTCACTTTCTTGTGGTCCTTATACGGAAAGGTATAGCTACCACTAACAGAAAACCAATAAGAGTGCAATTGCTTCCTCGTCTGTACAACTTGTAGTACGACTACTCACAAGACTGAAATATTCATGATTTAAAAGCATAACAAACCCCAAACTATATTCAATAGATCTACTGATTCGCAGCGTGACGAATGTTTGTCTTTTGTCATATTTTTTAAATATGAGTTCCGCTTTTAGACACAGGGAGGCCTTGGATAAGCCCTTCTTTGTGTTATGTATGCCATGCATGAAATGCTGGCATCAAATCAAGTGTATGAGGTTTCTGTATAGGTAGGGCAATAATATTCTTCCGTTAATGTTAGTGCATGTGTTGAAGAGGGTCGAACAAGGGGGAAAAAACCTTTCAAAGAAACAAAACAATTGGTACTCTTTCACAGTGGCGGATCTAGGCGGGTGGGGGGGGGGGAGGGGTCGGGGAAGGGAGCCGGCCCTATCCCCTGGCCAAATAACTTAACCTTTTTTTGAAGAAAAAAATGAACACGGACCCTCTTCCCCTGGCTCAAGGGGGGGGGGGTGGGGGTGGGTGTTAAATATTTCTTCACGGATTCGGAAAAACAAAATTAGTACTCCTTACCCCCCTCCCCCCTCCGCTTATTTGCCGGCTGGCTAATTCGGCGCTAAATATTTTCCCACGAATTGGGGGGGGGGGGTTTAGTGCTCCTTCCCTCCCCCTGCTTATTAGCCGGCTGGCTGATTCGGTGCTAAATATTTTCTCACGAATTGGGCCCCCTATTTTTGGCCCTCGGTTTTGGCCCTTGGCCGCCGGCTGGATCCGCCCCTTTTCTTCCAACTCAAATGTCATATTTCTTTCCCACACACGGTGCGATATAATGAAATTTGAAGTCACCTCTTTGAATCAGGGTAACACAAAGTTTGATACGAAAGGAATAGGCCTAAATGAGCTATTGGCATGCTTCCACTACGAGGATATATGTTTAATGAAAGCATATGGAAACGTTTGCTTGTATTTGTCTCATAAAAGAATATGAGCACGAACTGACTCCCACACGGTGTTGAGTGCTCAGGGGTCACAGGCCAATGGCTTCATCGGGCAGGTAGTTCCATTATGTGAATGGGTAAATTAACTATTACAAAATGAGGGGACACATTACATTGTACAATAGGGACACACATTGTTTTTATTGTGCAGAACATACTCTTTTATTGACTTACATATTGCATGAAACTATATAACCAAAATGCATTTTGTATTCTAACAATTGGAGTACAAAGAATAATAACAGGTGAATGAAATGCATAAACACCACAAACACCTGGGGAGGAAGCATTCATAAATTTGAATACATATATATGATAAACGACTCCGATGAAACTATAAAACCAAAATGAAATTTGCGTTCTGGCAATTGGAGTACAAAGAATGATAGCAGGTGAATGAAATGCTTCAACAGCAACACAAACACCTGGGAAGCTAGGAAGCATCCATAAATTTGAATAATTTAGTTGATAAACGACTCCGCATGTGGACGTTTGTTGGAGCAGAAAGCAGTGGATTCTTAACAACACGAACCCATTTAACATAATGTCGGAACGTAAATTAAATTTGGCGCGGTTGGAAAATGCCTCTTTCTACCCTGCAACTTTAATGGTACGATCCAGTAAATTAAAACAAAAAAATAGCTCTTATTTTAAAGTTACTCATTAAATGAAACCCAAAACTTCAGTGATATCAGAAAAAATATGTTATATCTTACTAATAATTAAAAAAGATGTATAAACATTGTGAAAGTGTCGCATTTTACGATAAAAGACACCGATTTAGCAAAGATCACGTCATTAGTGCGCTTGCATCAGGGAATTCAAGGTCAAAAGGTCAATTCAGACGCTGATGAGTAGTTGGTCGAGTATTTTTGTTTCCTTTATTCCGACAAAATTATACAATCAATCAAAATAAGTTTGATACCAGAAGAAAGCTAACGATTAGTATTTTCATTAACCGCTTGCCCCAAAGTCTCTTGACCACAGTGAAACGAGTGAGAGCTTGCGAGATCGGCCAAAGTGTGATTGAAACTCGCTATTTGCTCTTCTCCAACGCAAAAAGAGACGACATTGTGCTGGATAAATGTCTTTTTTTCCGACAAAAGTACAGAAAATTTGCATATGGTCTTTTTATATTATACTGTAAGAAATGTTACCCGAGTGACTTCCGTGCGCCCCAATGCTGGAAAGAAACGCACATTTTAGAAAACTTCACTTTTTCATGGAAAAATGCTTATTTGTTCTATGCACGCAAGTCAGATTAAGCGGATGATACAACGTTTCCATATGTAAGAAAAAAAGGACAAAAATGTGTAAGCTATATAATTAAAAGCGAAAATCCAAACAAGCGTATTTTATCTTCAAGGGTCTTTTTGTCGAAATTGAATCTCAAAATAAAATGTGTAGGTCTCCGAACCTAAGTGACCTTATCCAGAATATTCTGTCCTCGTGATGAAATACATATATAAATATATATATATATATATATATATATATATATATATATATATTAGGCCTATATGTAGTTGGGTTTAATAACTCAGAACCGGTGACAACTCGGCCCCGCTGCAAAACGGTCCGTTTTTGCAGGTTAAGGGTTAGGGTTAGGATTAGGGTTACAGTAAAATGACAAAAAAACGACCGTTTTTGCAGCCAGGCCGAGTTGTCCCCGGGTCCGAGTTAGCCCGGATATATAGTGCAGGCCTTGTGCTATCTCAGTCACAGCCCTAAACCGACCTTCACACCAACTCCAGATCAACCGATTCTTGACCCTTTGGGGTAGTGTAATTTCATTTCGTGATGTTTGCAATTGGGTCTGGAGTCGGGCTGTTTGGGTTTATTGCCGTTTGGTCTACACAAAATTGGTCTAGTACCCAATTGGTCTATTCCCATATGATCTACATCAAGCCCGTCTGGTTCTGGAGCCGGGCTTGTTGTGTGACCGGGTATTCTAATAACATACAAGTCGAGACTTTGTAGCCAGATTTAGGTACGTTATGCTTGGGGAAGCAATGTTAGGGGAGATGTGACAGAGGGTCATAATTGTAAACTAGATGAAGAACACAGACCATAATATGCTGAAGAAATTTAGGGCGTACAAGTTTCCATGTTGACGTC